TTTTAAAAGTGTTGAATAAAAAAACAAAATTAATATCTAAGAAATGTTCCGAATTTCATTATTTTCTTTGTAAATTTCTGAATACTTGCTTACTGTTCGGGTATGTTAGTCGAGTGAAAAAAATAATATGGCCCTAGATATGTTTTAAAAAGATATTCAGTATCATTTACTTAATATAACATCAAAAGAAAAAGAAATTTTTATTACAACATGTTTTTGTTGTATATTTGACAATACATTTAGTATTACACTGATATATCCTAAGAAAGCGTGGTAATTTTGACAGTTGGCATATGCGGTAACCATGGAAACTGCCCGTTTACAAAAAAACTAACACGTCAACATATATATTTTATTTCTATTTTTGAATCCACCATCAAATGTTACTTGATATATCAATAATGTAGAAAATTCTATGAAAGAAATTTCTTGATAGCTTTAATTTTTTACAGAATTCATGTTTATTTTTCTCAATTTTTGTTTAGTTAAAAAGCATGAAAACTCATTTTTTAAAGAATTATGTTCCAATTATCGTTTGTTTTATACAGAACTCTGAGATAAAGCAAGCTTTGTATAAAATTATGTTTATTGTGAGTGTAATAAGCTATTTTATACATTATTATAACACAGTTTGGCTATTTTGACAATTTTGAGATATACGGTTACCATGGAAACTGCCATTTTTCAAAAAATCCAACACGCCAACATATATTTTTCTTTTTCTTTTTGAATTTGTTATTAAATTTTACACAGCTTACAAAAAAATTAGAAAATCCTATGGAACACTTTTTTCAATATCTCTAATTATTCTCAGAATTCATGTTTATTTTTCTCATTTTTTGTTCGGTTGAGGAACATGGAAAATTCATTTTTTAAAGAAATATGTTCAGATTATCATTTGTTTCATACAGAATCATTAGATAAGGTTATCTTTGCATAAAACAATGCTCGTTGTGTGTTTTAAGCTATCTTATACATTTTCTATTCGTTATAACACAGTTAGGCTATTTTGACAGTTTTTAGATATACGGTTACCATGGAAACTGCCATTTAACAAGAAATCCAACAAGTCAACATATATTTTTCTTTTTATTTTTAAATTCGTCATTAAAGTTTACTCATCATACAAAAAATTTAGAAAATTCTATGAAAGGATTAATTTTTCATAAAACTGAAGAAAATGTCTTTAAATGTTAAATATTTGACTGATATACAACTTCTTTTGTAATGGTATCACCCAAAAAGATATACGGTACATTTGCGAAGATACAACGTTTTTACATGATCTGATTTTTAAAGCTTCTAATGGATGATTGTATACTCTATCTAGTGAAAAATTCCATTTCATTATTGTTTTAATAGATTCCATCTTTCAATGCAGATTATCTGCTCTCGCTTTTAAGTTTTAAATTGCTTCTTTCAAGGGAAGAACAACAGCTTCGTGAAATGGAAAGCTATGATAAATAAAGAGAAATCAAATTCTTGTAGCATAATAATATGTTTAATCTGAAATAAATATTGTTCACTTTGAATGTCATTTTTTACATAAAATTATATATTTTTGCATTTGCGAAAAGAACTGAATATATTCTCTTTATATGTAAACTAAAGGTTAAAATTAGCCTGCTCAAAATGCCATATTCAGTTGTCAGCATATTCATTCTAAGGATCCAGTAAGCTTTTTTGGATCAATCATTGACCAGAGTCGTATATTGATTCAATGATAATGTCAGTCGACCAAAAGGCTAACTTTAGACTTAAATTTCTTTATAGAAAAAGAAACTTCATATGTTTCCAAACAGTTGTTGGTCATTTCTATTATCCTGTGTAATTTAGATTATGCTTCCTGCTTTATTTTGCATCACATTCTCTTTAAAATAAATTACAGGTCTCCCAAAACAAACTTCTAAGATTTCGGATGGATCTTGATGATAGGGTTCATATTGATAAAGACAAGATTGTTTTGTTAAATGGTTATGTAGACTTTAAAAACTCTATGCCATTTGTTCAAAATTCATTCTAGAGATGTTCTGCTTATCAGCAATTTCTGTTAACAATTAAAACCCTAGATTAAGTGAAAGGTCTCAAGTCTGGCAGAGGGACAAAGAATTTGGCCAAACTTTATATAGCGGTTGTACTTTGTGGAATGAGCTTCCTCTAAGAATAAGAGATATACATAGTCCTTTGGTAAGCTTAAGCTCACTATAAGAGAAAACCTTTTCAAGTCAGTTCAGGTATCATCTCTTATTTATTTGACCTCTTATTTTCTAGTTTTTCAATTCATTTTCAAGCTGAAATTCCTATTTTTTTTCCACCCGAATCATTATATTCATGTATGCTCAATTTCGAAATGTCAATGTTCGTTTTATTTATTTATTTGTGCGATTTCTGTGATATTTTTGAATTTGTGATAATCAATATCTCTCTTTGTCACACAATACTATATCTTAAGAACTACAATGGAAATAACAGTTTGTATATATAGATATCATATACATGAATATTTCAAATAATGTATAAGTTTATGTAAATATAGGTATATTCTTTAATAATTTCTGGCACTGGTATATTTATTAAAATGTCTTCCAATTTAATTTGTATTGTCAGAAGAAATGTTGATATTTTATTTTAGGGAAGTTATTTCAAAACTTGACAGTGTAAAGATAGTCTTGTAAAAGCTATAGAGCTGTCTGAAAATTGTCGTGTTTTTAATCAAAGGTCCTCAAACTTCTAAAGGTACTCATTGACCCTCATTTTCTACTTTTGGGTTTTGGAAATTAGCTCTCTTATAGTAATCTTGGTAACTAACAGTAACCCAGTAGTTAACTAGTATTTTGTTAAGAAGTAAAATACCACTTTGTTTAGATTTTGATATCACGAATATTTTCTCCGGTTGATAAGCTTGATAACCTTCTTACATGATCTAAATCCATTATTACAATATCATAAAATACATTTTTGCTCTTTCTACAGAAGGAAAATTTATATTCATTTCTGACGCTTCTAAGCTTCAAAAAAAATCTATTTATTATTGCGCTGAACTTTTCAATGTAATTATGAGTAAAGTAATGATATTTAAATAGGGAAATAGGCCATAAAGAATTAAACGCAACAATAAATTTGTATGCATACGCACGCAAAGAAAATGTTAGGCAAAGCTCAGTGGATGGATATTTATTCATTTATTTCACGGAAAACACCTAATATTTTACTGGAAAGCATGACATAATGCTAAATCCATGTAGTTTCATTATTTAATGCTTTGAACTCGTCGAGTAAAATAATATCATACTCGGTAAAAGCTCGTATATTTTAATTCCATTCAAAACACGACAAAGACAAACTTCAAAGTATTGTGTCTTTGAGTTTTTGCATTTTCGACAAAATCTGTCCCACTATTGTGTTAACATAATATACGGCGACAATACAATACATATGTATCGTATATTTTTTACACTTGACGTGTAGAAGTTTGACTCCATTTCTGAGCAGCTTACTTATAGAAAATGTATCAATGCCTAAAATTACATTTATACAGGTACGTATAATATACGTACCTGATTTATATAAACAGATTTAAACAGTAACTAAAGGTTTCAAAAAAAAATTATGAAAAAATGTAACAACGCAAAATGGGGAATCAAACCATTGAACTTCCTCAAGCAATGACATAACAGGTATACAAAGATAATTAAATTGGAATGCTGATTTAATCTTTAATGATTTACTTGAACTGATGCCAAAAAAAAAGCAAGTAATTTGATAAACAGGCCGGTACTTCACTGCCACTGCGTGACAGACACTCTTAAACCTGGAATACACTTTCTACATTAAAGTTTCCAATCAATGCGAAGGTTCCTGTATTATAAATGTTGCTTTTGACACCTGCCAACCATCTCCTGAATACAAAACATTGCTCTTGACGGGTAAATATAGCCATGATCGTATAATTTATTGATACTTGATTAAGATTTCTCTGACGAGATGGCTATCATCTTGTCTTTTATGACCGCAATACAAAGGAAGATATTGTCACTTTGCGTGCGAGCTCGTTATTCAGGATAATTTACCAGATAAGCATCTTTACTGTGACTTATTTTGTAAAAACACGGACAAGAGGTGATAAGAACTGTAAACTGAAAACATATGAAATGCGTAACGTTTTTGTTTCATATACATATTCAATGGTTATATATTTGTTTGTCTTTTTATTTAATGTCGATGTTACAAAGGTGGCCAATGACATATGTGAATATGTTATCGACATACAAAAGGGAACATTTATCGTACATATTTTTACAGTAAGGAATAGTACGTACACGAGTGCTTAACACTTTTTATAACTTTTATAATTTTATACCTACTGCATCTGATGTAAACACTATTCATATTGACTTCTTTACGTAATGCAAAGAAGAACCCCAGTATTCTTATGCGCCTGCCGTACAAAGTTCCCGTATTTTTGTATTTGTTCGACCCATGCAATGGTTAAACACCGAAACGCCCCAAAAATCCAAATAAACCACACAATCGGGTCACATTAAAATGAACACTCTATCAGGAAATCATGTAATAGAAAGCATGTCGGAAGAAGCAAACACTAACTACTAACATTAGATAAAACGGGTGACATCAGGTAAGATATGGGTGGCTGAAGCTGAAAACACATACTGGACAAGTCACTACCTGTTAGGTTTCTCTTGAAAATGTACATTTTTAGATTACATTATTTTGAAACTGTCCATTTCTAGATAAACAAATTTTATTATACCGTGACGCAATTTGGACGGTGACAAGTTTAACTCGGATTAGTAATAATATCAATGATCATTTACAGTCCCTTTTCTATTTGTTACGCTGAAGCAATCTGAAAAAGAACCAATGATTTTAAATCGTGTACACGCTTATCGAAATACCATACAGATTGCTTTACAACCAAATAAAATGTTTACATTGACATATCAGAAAGAAAACGGGTGAAACATTAAATGTGCACTTACTTCTCGTTATAAATGTAACAGATTGATTGCGTGAGATAACTTCCACATCTGTTACTATCCCAGAATCCGAGTGGTACATTGTCCTGTTGTCTGTTGTGTTCAAGCGAACATTTTGTGTGATGTTCACTTCTGTTAAATGCTCTTCGGATCGAAACTGCAATTAAATTAATTAATTAAAAATTACTGTTATTTTCTTTTGATATCATGAAAAGCATTGTTTGGGTTTTTACATTTTGAAATTTTGTATTCAGAAACTGATATTGACATCAGACAGTGAATGATGTATCTCAATATTGTTAAAGACGTTTTCGGGGGTTTTCATATAGACATATAGTCAAACTTAAAACTGTTCAATAGAATATCTTTAAACTTGGCATGTTGTTAGAATATGATAACAGAAACATTTTAAGCGAAAAACAAATTGGAGTCACCGTTCTCATTTTTGAGTTATCTGCCCTTGAATTGCACTTTTTTGTTAAATTCAAGGATAGATAATTTACAATGAATGGAAACAATACATTTTTTTTTCTTATTTTCATGAAACTTACCTTCGTTTTAGTTGATATGCAAAACTTCAAGAACAAATTTAGAGTGGGTAGATTTTATTCCCACTTCTTCTTTAAACCTGTGTATTTTTTCTTAAAAATGGCCTATTTTTTAAGAATTTAAAGTACCTTTATTTTCATTGAAAAAAAATAACCGAAACAATGTAAGGAATTGCATGTTATTATGTAATGAACTCAGCAATAAAAAGAAAAACATAATCCAGAAGAAAACAAGCAATTATCATAGTATTGCAAGCAATCCATAAGTCCCCTACCGGTTAGAACCCCAGCAACATTCTGAAGGGCCATTGGCAATTCACTTATGTTTCTATTTTAAGTAAATTTGTTGAAAAAGTTCTTTAAAAGTGATCACAGGAAACAGTTTTTATGTACAGACAGACGGACTGAAGGACACTCTACAGTTATTTTTTAAACATCCCTGTTATCAAAATATAACATTTTTAAAAGCAAAATTTTTAAAAAAGAGATAATTCTTGAAATAAAGATGCAAGATGTCATACCTGATGTGAGTGTAACAAAGAACAATTAGTAATGAACGTATGAATAAAGAATGGTTATTTTTAATTTGAAGTAAATGAAAGTTAAAAGAACGAATAAGAAAAATTAAAAGTTTAAGGAGGAGATAACTTTGGAAATATGGATGCTAGATTTATTAACCTTGTCATATTATTATGATGTGGGAGTTTGAAGAAAATCCTATTATGATTGAAGAAGTTGAAGTAAAAATAACCAATTTCTCGAAAAAAAGTCTAAGTTCAAAAGGGGCATAATTCTGGAAATAGTCTTGCTAGAGTATTGAACTTTCTCACAAATGTTAAGTGATAATAAGAAACATATATATGAAGTTTGAAGTAGATACATTCAGAAAAAAAGAAGTTGTTAAAAAAAACAATTTTTTTTTTTCATGAAAATTTTAAGTTCAAGGGAGGTAATTCTAATAAATTTTGTGCTAGAGTTGTAAACTTTGTCACATATGATGTGGTTGATGACTAGCAACTTATATTTAAAGTTTGAAGATAATACCTTAAGAAATAAAGAACTTATAGTGAAAAAACGTAAAAAACTAGAATCAGAAATCTTGAAATTCAGTCCATTTGTTGCCATAGCAACCAGAATTTTCAACATAAGAAGATAAGAAAAGGATGTGCATAATTTCCAGACTGCCATTTACCCATATGTCAAGTTTCATAAAAATATTTTCAGTACTTTTTGCGTTATCACTGGATCCAGGTTTTGTGTAAAATTTGCCATATTTTCAGTCTATTTGTTGCCATAGCAACCAGAATTTTCAGCATAGGAAAAAAAGAAAAAGACGTGCATAATCTCCATACTGCCATCTATCCATATATCAAGTTTCATAAAAATATTTTCAGTACTTTTTGCGTTATCGCGGGATCCAGGTTATGTGCAAAATTTGCCATATTTTCAGTCGATTTGTTGCTATAGCAACCAGAATTTTCAACATAGGAAGAAAAGAAAAAGACGTGCATAATCTCCATACTGCCATCTATCCATATATCAAGTTTCATAAAAATATTTTCAATACTTTTTGCGTTATCGCGGGATCCAGTTTTGTGGACGGACGGACTGACGGACGGACAGACGGACGGACGGACAGACAGACGGACGGAGGGTAAACCTAAAGTCCCCTCCGGTAAACCGGTAGGGGACTAAAAAACAAGAATTCATTTAAGTATGTATAAGTTATCTGCCCTTGAAATGACCTCAAATGAGTAGAAAAGTCTGATTCAGGGGCAGATAACTCATAAACGAGAACGGTGACCCCAATTTTTGTTTCGCTTAAAATGTTTCTGTTATCATGTTCTAACAACATGCCAAGTTTAAAGAAATTCTATTGAACAGTTTTAACTTTGCCTATATGTCTATATAAAAACTCCCGACTTAAGTGTCAGCATGTATAACATTAAACAAGAAACAAAATATAAATGTGCCAAAAAAACCGTAGAGAATAGGCTTCCGTTTCGAGATTTATGGAAGCAGTATCAACTTTCCAATATCTTTAAAAAATCAAATTACTTTATACATATGGTATGTGCCGAAATAAATATAATTCACCTCACTGGGTGAGAATCGGCCACCAACTTGAAAACTTGACACTATTATAGCTAATTCCCTACGTTGTAAAGCATCGCGACAAACCTTAATTCCTTTTAATTAAAGTGGATATTTTCTATTAATGTTACAAAACTGATATTTTCTTTTTGGAATACGAATGCAAGACATTGAAATAAATAAAACACATAGCGGATTTCAAAATTGTAATGTTAAGAAGAAAAAAAGATGTTCTAATGGCAGCCGTATTGGTGCTTACCCCGGTGTATGCAGCTTCCACTAAATTGTCCGGGAACATGTTCCTGAAAAAAAGAAAGAAAACTCGGTTTTTATAAATTATGCATTTTCGCGAAAGAATTCTTGCGTATTATTTTGATTGGTTATGAAGTGAGTTGTTATTTCATCAACATTTCCGATTTCTGCCCATTATTCACATATCAAGTAGTGTGTATATATATAGTAATAGTACTAGTAATTCCACTTTACTCCAACCATATCGTGCTATACATCATGATGTATATCGTATTAACTACAACAATGTATCAACAAGTTAACATCTTATATAAATTGTTTCATCTTCAAAAAGCTAACTGCCATGACTTATGTACAAGTTTTAACATTTAATACAGTGCAGTATATAACAAATTATGAAGCGAGGCATTTACCGTTGAGAAGGGTTTGCTGGTTCAGGTAAGCCATCAACAAGCAGTATCAGTTTTGTATTATATTAAAGTTATAACACTGCAAAGTGGGTTGTCGACATGTTGTTAATGTTTTGAAATGGTATTCTGCCCCTTCAGACAAAGTAAGAAATGCTACCCAACGATGTAAGACATGTTGCTAAAGAGTAAATACTTCAGGTGTATCTGCCCAGCCGGGCACGGTGGATTATAAACAGCAGTTAGCCCATCCGACACGTTAACACTTATTTTGAATGAGAGTTTATCTGCCTCTTTAGACCCGACAAGTAATGTACCTTAAATGTGTCATTAAACAGGTCGCTTAAGAGTTATTATTTCTATTGGGAGAGGATTTAACTACTATCCAGACAAAATAAGCTTATAGAATCGATGAATGTCAACTTTTATCCGTCGTTCGTTGTTCGTCCGTCGTCCACGATTGTGTCAAATGAATCAGTAGGACCAATATATATTGATGAAATATTTTCCTGATACGGCTTTGATAATTGTCCACTACAAAGATTTTTCTTAAGAGTCATTGGTTTTGCAGTTACTTGTCGCGGTGGTCACTAGATTTATACATTATTAGAAAACGTCGAGGCAATACGATATTCCCCTGAATGATCAGGGCTGGGAATCAAAACTGCGCCGTATCCTACAAAATGTAAACAAACGCCGCCATCTTGGAACGAAAAACGTATGTTTTTGTTTATAACTCTTTTTGTTGGAAATGACTGAAAACCAGATATATGTATTAACACGCTACACTATTTTCCGCTTCGTTCGGTATATGTTGCTTGCACAACTATTTTGTAAAACAAAAGTTATAGCGAACTTGCATCTCGAAGCGGGGCAGAATTTTTATGAAAATGTGTGGATACGACGCAGTTCATATTGCTTTATCTATCGTTTTTTCCTTCAAATCAATTATATATTTGTTTCAGAGTTCACCATAAACTTCGAAATATAATTTTGCATCATTTACTGAAATTTCATTAAAAAGAGATGTTTGTTATCTTAGAAAATAATGATTTTTACGAAATGATACGACGCAGTTGAAACTAAAATATGATACGACGCAGTTGTATTTTTGGCAGTCTTTTCAATAGGGATAATTTTGGCAAAATATTTCTATTTTATGGAATAATCACTTGCGCTAGATAAAAAAAAAACCAGATCATTTGCGGTGTATAGCAATGTTCAAATACATTGTGTCATGTCCAATATAACATTTAATTTGAAAGTTTACATTGCGGAAACTACTTTTCAGTTAAACATGAACATGTTACCTAATTGATCATAATATCTGAAATAATTTCTTATATTTTCCTGTATGTTCAATATTATCCCTAATTGTTTTCGCAAAAAATATAGAAATCTATTAACTTGAATTCATGTTGGCTAGCTACGCTCTAAGTTAACTGTGGAAATATAGAAATCTATTACCTTGAATTCATGTTGGCTAGCTACCCTCTAAGTTTACTGCGGTTCTGCATGTTCTGCTTTTTTGTGGCTTGTTTTCAAACTTTCACTCTACACATTAGCTTTACTAGGGGCGAGGACCTCAGGTGCACAAAGGCATTATTTCAGACAAAATGTTGCACCTGCAGAGAACCATCGACATTTTGAAACTAGCTTGATAGGTTTTCCACACGAAAGAATAAAAAGAACCTGATGGTTTTCGAATTCATTGCAGTTCAGTTCAAGTGATTTGAATTCAGTAAACATAAACAGCTCGGCCACGGTCGGACACACCGGTCTGATTTGTTTTTTCAACGAAATTTGTTAACGTCAGCTGTACAAATAAGCAGCTTTTTTATTAACTTCTGGCGTGAAGTTTTTAGATTATAAATATTTGAATTAATAATAAAGAGAATAACATTTAAATTTCTTATTTCGGTATGACTAGCAGAGAAATTTTCAATGTAAACACGGGGTAATCCTCTGTGAAGTCATTTTCTGAAAACCTTTGTTTAAGTTTTCAGGCAATTCATTATCAAATAAAAATCACACTTTAGTATGAAGGTATGTTAAGATGCCATGTCTCTAGTCTGTTGAAAATTCGATGTGATAATCTGACCTAAATTTTCTGTTTAATATTGTGAAAACTTCTTCAATACTGTTGAAAGATCATGTCTGCCTATATCTGTATCACATTTATCGGTGCACAGCGTTAAATACCTTTGCAAAACGGACACCTTCTTTACAAAATAATCTGTAGTTGTATCATATGTAAATTTAAAGTTTTTTAATGGAGAAGAATGATACTTAAGTGCAAATATAGAAAATACATTCCGTAGACCTTTCCTCATCGGCGATAAAGAAATGCAATACGACAAAATCAGAGGTAAAGTTTCGCGGCGCTGAACATAAAATGACTAAACGGAACGCATAACCTACTTGCAAAAATATATTGTAGCTTAACCATTTATAATATAATTTTAAAAATTTAATGTTCATTTTCAAATAATAAAGCTCATCTGTTCTCACCGATTATTAAGAAAATGAGTACAATAAAATCGGCACGTAAAAGACATAAGTAATAACGGAATTGACGTAATTATTGCTAATTACAAGTAACAAAGGTATGCATGCAATTTGCGCATAGCTCTCTTCCGATAGCAAGAGACCTTTTCAAAATTTGTCATTCTTTCTCTTTTTGTTAAAAAAAGGGTCATTCCTGATTAATACTAGTACAGGGTTCAGGAGAGGTTACACTGGAATCAAAAATAGTAATCACTCCCATTTCGAACTCACGGGAACAATTTTAGAAGCATGCTAAGGCAACACTGGAACACGTTGTCATATGGATGTGCGATCACGTGTTTCAATGAATATTGCATTTGATACAGCTTTTCGGAATTTGTAGATGCGTATAATAGGTACTTAAATGCGACTGAAAAATACAGCCTTAATAGAATTGTACTACATTTTCATTTTTATGGAACCAATGAGTGACCTCTGCTTTTGACTTAAGTTGTTAACAAGAAATGTTGTTGGACGTTATTAGCATACCTACCTAGCACATAATTTAAATAGTTTAAAACCAATATGCAGCCTGCAATGAAAATACAACTGCGTCGTATCATATTTTATTTTCAACTGCGTCGTATCATTTCGTAAAAATCATTATTTTCTAAGAAAATAAACATCTCTTTTTAATGAAAATTTAGTAAATGATGCAAAATTATGTTTTGAAGTTTATGGTGAACTCTGAAAACGAGTATATAATTGATTTGAAGGAGAAACGATAGATAAAGCAATATGAACTGCGTCGTATCCACACATTTTCATAAAAATTCTGCTCCGCTTCGAGTTGCAAGTTCGCTATAACTTTTGTTTTACAAAATAGTTGTCTAAGCAACATATACCGAACGAAGCGGAAAATAGTGTAGCGTGTTAATACATATATCTGGTTTTCAGTCATTTCCAACAAAAAGAGTTATAAACAAAAACATACGTTTTTCGTTCCAAGATGGCGGCGTTTGTTTACATTTTGTAGGATACGACGCAGTTTTGATTCCCAGCCCTGAATGATGATTCTTATAAATTTGGTAGTATGCTAATAAATAATGTTTAAACTATTTCATTTTTAATAATATATAAAATTGGTGACCACCAGGATCAGTTACTATAAAAACCAATGGCTCTTAACTTTTCCACCGATTTGCAAAATAAGTAAAATTCTACTTGGCCATAAATATTTTTTCTTAAAAATACATGCTTCCACAACTATACCCAGGGCTGGGAATCAAACCGTATCTTTTTTTTTTTTTTTTTTTTTTTTTGATAGAAAGGTAAAAGTATGTTCCTGTCCAATTCTTTTTCACTGGTTTCATTGGGGTCACCGATACTGATAAAGAGACCAGCATGGCCAATAAAGTCTGTATCTTATATGTAAAATCACTTCTTTTGTTTGTTCAGATAAAAATGTTTATATTCAAAACTCTTGAACAAAATTTAAAATGTATTGCAAATAAAGTAAAACCATAGAACCGTAAGTATAACAGAACTGATTATTTTTCTTTATTTTAAAATTATAAGAGAATAACAACTATCAGAGACATGACCCAAAATAACATATTTAATAACCAAGGGTTTCTTAATTAATTGTAAATTAAAATAGACTATAGTAAACAGCCACATGCAACCAGCAAAACGAAACACCTATTATGAAAATGTATACAGTAAATTTAAGGCCAATTTCTCAAGATATATGTGGTTTGTAAAATGAAATTTAAAACTAAGATATTTATTTTTTATCTGTTTTAACTATTTGCTTATTTAAGTTTTTAAAGACATACATTTTCTTTGACAAGAAAATACGTACGTTGCTTTCATAGACAGGGCTTCGCAACAGGGGTTCAGGTTTTGCAATTATTTTTTAAAAGTTTACATGTATATGATCTGTTTATGTGCGTTTTAAAAAGTAACCAGTAAAATGTCAAATTTTATTTCAGTTAACATACTGAAGTGTTCGAATATTTACAAATGCCGTTTAGAACAATTCATTTCAAGTGGAAATTTTAGACAATTTAAATGCGTTTTATCTGGAAAGTAGCATCTAAATGAATTTGCATGAAGTAGTCACTAAACAAAATCGATTCCTATAAACACAGACA